CCACCTGCTAAAGAGATTAGTTGTGTGACAGGTAGATACAATCAGCCATCTCAGCTGAAACGTTGTCAGGTTGTACCTTAGTGTACAGAGCATGGAGCCAAAGAGGATTATTCTCAAAATTGAACATCAAATTACATTTGCCCTGATAGTTTTTGGATTTTCTGGGACTTGCATCCCCATTCCTCCTTCTAATATCTCCCTTTTGAAATGAAAATGTCTATCCTATTCCTGTCAGACCATTGTATTTTTAAAGCAGATAATATGCTATTTATTTTTTAGATTCATAGGTGGAGAGGAATTTTGCTATGAAATGGATCATATCTTGAGTGTCACCCATACTTATTTTGATGATATTTAGTTGAGATTTTGGACTTAATTAATTCTGTTGCATGGGTTAAGACTTTGGGGAATGTTGAAATGGGATGAATATATTTGCACGTGAGAAAGATTTGAATTTATGATGATCAAGAGTGGACTACTGTGAATTGAATTGTATCCCCCAAAATTTTTATGTCCAATTCCTCACCCCCATATTTAAAAATATTACCTTATTTGGAAATAAGGTCATTACAGATACAATTATGCTAAAGTGAAGTCATTATAATAATCGTTGTCTAATCCAATACTACTGGTGCACTTATTTAAAAAACGAAAATGTACACATGATATATACGGAAGTACTTTAAGAAGTTTGTGGAAAAATGAGAGCTGGCCAATTAGCTAACTTGTTTCGAGTGTGGTACTGGTAACGTCAAGATCCAGGGATGATCCCTGCACAAGCCAGCCACCAAAAAAGAAAAAAAAAGTTTGTGGAAAAATGGAATTAAAAAATTTTTTGAAGTACCCTTGTGCAAGGAGAATGTCATGTGAAGAAGGTGGAATGGTGCTTCCACAAGCCAAAGAACACAAAAGAATTCTGGCCAACCACCAGATGCTAGGGAAGAGATATGGAATAGATACATCCTCAGAAGAAGTCAGTCTTACTGATATTTTGATCTGAGACTTAATGCCTCCAAAAAGGCAGGATAATAAATGGCTGTTATTTAAGCCACTCAGATAGTGGTACTTGTTACATCAGCCTTTGGAAACTAATACACACTCAAAGAATCATCTTCTTTTCAATCACAGCATTTATCTCAGTTCATTATGCTCATTACTTTGATGATGAGAAAATATCTCTACCTCCAAAATTAGAGTATAAGCTCTTAAAATTTGGATTTATTTTTAATTCCTTCTTTTATCTGCAAAACCTTAAAGAGTTCTGGTAGTTATTCAAAAATCAGTAGAATAGATGAATAGATAAATGGATGGATGGATGAATAACATGTTAATTCCTCACCAATGCTACCTTAATGCAGCTATAAAATTTGGCTTAGGTCCTCCTGCTCTATGGCCAAGTTATATTTCATCATAAAATGTCAACATCCAGTTAGGATTTGAAAAAGACCATGTATCAAGATGGTCATATTCAATTATTTAAGGCAGTCTGAGGCAGAAAAGGACATGAAAAATTATTAGATGTTGTTTCTGATGGAATGTGAGTAGTTCTAGGCTGAAGTAACAAGGTGATCACATTGAATTTAATAGAAAAAAAGAATGATTTAATTATTACATTAATTAATAGTTCTCTGTCACTATTTTCAAACAGCATAAAATAGTTGACTTTTTTGTTAGGGATATTATAGAGCGATCTCTGCTTTCTGAAGAGGTTACATTAACATTCCAATGGTAAGGTAATTCCATGAAATTGGTGTTTCAGAGAAGTATGCAGATAAAATCTCCCTTCTATGTTGACAGTATAGAAGAAAAAGAGAGTGAAAGAGGCCCAGGAAACCAGTATATCATTCTACCACATCTCATCAGCCATTCTTTATCTCACACATAGTGGTAACAAGGAAATATTTGGGGATGAAGATATCTGGTCACCATATATACCTCATTTTTCTTAATACTAAGATGCAAATTTTATTTAGTATTTAATTTATTATTTTCAACCTTCTATTTTTATCTTACAGAATTTTTATAGGCTTCAATCACATTTCCTTGAGTCTTCTTTTCTCCATTCAAGCTTAAGTGTTCTCAAATTTTGTCACCTCTCTTTCCATCTACTGATCTCTCCCAACTACTGATTATTGAATTGATCTTCATTCAGGATCTTCCAGATCTCCTCTGCCTTCCCTGAGGTGAGATCATTAGTAGAACGGCACATAGCACTTTTTGGGCAGACGTGCAAGGGCTATGCAAAACAACTCTCAACGAGGAATATAAAATGAAACCTACAGAAAACAAAAAAAGTGGTTTCCTACCACAATAGTTAGGAGACGCATGGGGCACAAATAAATTTGCTACATCCAAACATATCAGAATGAAAAGACAGTCTTCAAAATGGGAGACGATATTTGCAAACTACGCATCTGACAAAGGATTACTATCCAGAATATACAAAGAACTCAAACAATTTTACAACAAAAAAAACAAATAATCCAATTTAAAAATGAGCAAAGGAACTGAATAGACATTTCTCAAAAGAAGACATACAAATGGCCAGCAGGTATATGAAAAAATGCTCAACATCACTAATCATCAGGAAAATGCAAATCAAAACTACCTTGAGATATCACCTCACTTCAATCAGACTAGCTATTATAAAAATGAGAAAGAATAACAAATTCTGGCAAGGATATGGAGAAAGGGGAACATTTCTGCACTGTTGGTGGGACTGTAAATTAGTACAGCCTTTATGGAAAACAGTATGGAGGTTCCTCAAGCAACTACAGGTAGAACTACGATATGACCCAGCAATCCCACTACTGAGGATATATCCAGAGAGATACCTGTACTCCCATGTTTATTGCATTTCTATTTACAATAACCAAAATTTGAAACCAACCTAAATGTCCATCAATAGATGACTGAATAAGGAAATTGTGGTATATATGCACAACGGAATACTATTCAGCCATAAAAAAGAATGAAATTCTACCATTTGCAACAACATGGATGAGCCTGGAGAAAATTATCCTAAGTGAAACAACCCAGGTACAGAAAGAGAAATTCTGCATGTTCTCACTCATAACCGGGAGCTGAATCCATAAATAAACAAATGAACAAGAAAGAGAGACAGAGAAAGAGAGAGAGAAAGAAACAACAATAGCAATAATACGTTTAACTTTTAGAAAGAGAGAAAAGAACCATGGTTACTGGAGGAGGAAAAGGGAAGGGGGGAAGGGAGGCTAATGAGGAATTGGTTAATGGACACAAAGAGTGATTGCGTATTGTAAAGATGAACAATCTAACTATCCTGATCTGAACATCACACATTGTACACAATTATTGAAAATCAACATTGTACCCCATGTGTATACATAATAAATTATCTAAATAAATATATACACACACAACTAAAAAATATATATTTTTATTTTAAAAGATGCATTAAACTTATTTACATATATTAAGATGCAGGATATGTTAGGCCTAGGTCTGTCATATTATTTAATGTCCTTCAGTATGTAATCTATGGTTCTCTCTCTCTGACCATTATGCTAATACCTTAGCATGATAGCTTTAGTCCCCTCTTTCTTTAAGCAATATATTTTGTTTCTTACTATAAACAATAATAAAATTAACTTGTAACTTTTCTTCTCCCCTCCCTTTCCTCTTTTTCACCATCCAATATTGCTATTTAATAAATAGTATTATCTTTCTTAGTTGATCTTTGTCTTATTAAATGGTCTAAACTTCTATTACTCGACTTATCTACTCAATATGATATTCCTTTTCTCCTAAGCTCTCCTAAGAAATAATAAGAAACTTATTACACTTTTGACTTTCTTCCTCCTCCCCCCATTTATTTGTTAGTTATTTCCACAATATTAGCATATATTACGTTTATATACTGTTCTGTCACCTTTAGACCCACATTCTGGTCTTAACTCTATAGTAAGTATATATTTGATGACTGCCCTAGTCTTTTTGCTAGGGTTACTCCAACTTTTTCTTGATTATCTGAAGCTCATCTTCTAGTAGATTCCCAGGGAAGTGCTCACGGAAACAATAATCCCTGAGTTTCATTATTTTCAAAACTCTTTACTTGTATCCCTTGTACTTTAAAGTAGAGATTGGCTGGTATAAAATCCTTGGCGCACTTTTATGTTTTTTTAGTTTATTGTAAATGTTCTTTTATTATTTTCTGACATTAAAATGTTGCTATCAAAAAAAAAAAAAAAAAAAAAGGAGGTCTAGGAGTGACCTAGAAAGGAAATTTAGAGCTGTAAAGGAACTCAGCTGATTTCTTCTACAGGGCAGTTGCTTGCTTTGGTGCATTACAAGTAGTTACTGCCACCTGGCAACTTTGTCTAAGAACTACACTTTCTAGCTTTAGATAACGTAAGAAAATGTAATACAGCACAATCAGCCCCTTGTCTAAGGTGCTTTAGATACTATCTAACAGTTTATATCTGTGTAGAACTATGTGCTTATGTCATCACTTATGTAGTCTCATTTAGCCTTCACAGAAATCACATGAGAAGCCATGTTACGCATGTTGTATATGCACTCACAAACAGTATGTAAAATCTGCAATAATTTTTGCTGTTAGAGTTGAACTTAAAATCTTAAAATTGTTACACGTGAGAGATCTCATTTTGGGTAGTCCTTGGGCAATATTCTTTGTTGCCATTTTTAATGAGTTAACATAAAGCAAGTATATATGAATAGTTCTTATGGAAAAACATCAAGTGTAAACAAAAGGCACATACTTCAGATGGAAACATTAAGTGATTATCAAATAATATAGGAAACAGTCATTGTGTTGTGGGTAATTTATATTGTCATCAGTGGAAGGAAATAGAGATAAGAAAAAAAAGTTAAATTTGTAAACAGAGGATCTGTGAATAGAAGACTGTCCTAAAGAATGATGATTGTCTGGGACCATAGCAGGCTGGGGACAAGAAGAGAAATAGCCAGACTTTGTGAAAGAACGAAGGTGCCTGATATACCGGTTTATAAATTTTCAGGGCTATAATTTCTTTATCTTCAAGCCTTGGATAAAATGTGAGAGCATTACATACTGCGTAAATGGTGCTTTGAGAAGTTAACGTTGAAGTCCTGTGTTCACGGTCACTGCAAGTAAACTGGAGATGAAGAAGGACAAAGTGAAAAGACTATGAAATGGTAAGTGGTAGCCCTAAGAGCCAGAACAAGAGATGGCAGACAAACACTGGAATGGATTTGTGGAATTTGTAACAAACATTTTCTAGAAATGGTTCTCAATAAAAAAAAAAGGGCATAGGGACAGGTGCACTAAGTTAGCACATTCCAATAACATGTACTGGGGGCGTTGTCCTACTGATCTCATGAAAGACCCAGACCTGACAGAGAAATGCACTGGAAAGGTGAAAATACTTCCTCATTACCTTTCTCCTTCTCTTCCTGAAGACTTTTTTCTAGGTACACATACTTCAACTTCTGGAAAATGCAAATGGGTCTTCATCACCACAGACTCCTCACCAGTGTTTTGAATCTGTCCTTTTTGCAATTTCTAGTTTGCCCATGGCAATCTTAAACTCATCTGGAAGAAAGAAAATAAACCTATCCGGTTCCTCAACAGTGATGTTATCCAGGCCCATTAATAACAGTATTTCCTTGTATTTACTCTCCATGTCACTACTTTAAGATCAGCCAATAAGTCCGAAACAAATAAGAGTACACGACCAAAAGTGATTCTCTATTCAAAATAAAGCAAAATGAGTTATTAATATCTATTTAAGTTGGAACAAAATGCTTACAGTACAGTAAAGGAGATGTGAGGTGAAACATGAGTAATAACTTCTTAAAACTGTAAGTAGAAAAAATAAGTTCTATTGGTGTACAGCCAGGAATCTATAATTGATAATTATTTACTGCATGTTATCAAAGGACAAGAAGATAACAGATCAAGTATTCACATCACAAAGGAATAATTAAGCTTTACAATTGTGAATATGCTAATTACCCTGATTAGATCATCACATATGGTATACATGTATTGAAATATAACTCAGTACCCCATAAATATATATAATCAATATGTTTCAATAAAAAAATTAATAAAAGGTGGTCAATACTACTGGGAAAGGACATCAATAGAAGTTATACAATGCTTCTGCAGTTCTTAGAACCATGATGCATTCTTCTGTTATTTTTAAAACATCTACTGAGGCATAAGTAGCAAAAGACACAGTGCATATATTTCAAGCAGGCAATTTAAAATTTTGACAGGTGTATGCACTAGACAAAGTCCAATTTTTAAATTTTTTCTTTCATGGGTCTTGTTTTTGAAATCATATTCGAAAAATCTTTGTAAAACTCAATACTAGAAGATATTCTCTTATGTTTTCCTAATTCTATAGTTTGTGTTTTACATTTAAGTCTATCATCCATTTTGAGTTAATTTTGTATATGAAGCTAGATATAATACAAGGTTCATTTTTGAGTGGACATATTTTTTTCATATGTATATGAATTTGTCCAACAACACATGTTAATACTATCCTTTCTTTACTTACCTACTTTTCTCCTTCATCAAAAATCAGTTTTCTATGTAAGGGTGGGTTGATTTCTTTTTTATTCTTTATTTTGTTTTATTGGTCTATTTCTCTATTT